GACTCCATGTGCTATTTGCTGTGAATCACAGCACCAGAGGGTAGCTCAGTCTGGAAGGGACCTCAGGAGGCCTGTGGTCCAATCTTCTGCTCACAGCACGGTCAGCTCTGAGGTCAGACCAGGCTGCTCAGGGCTTCTTCCAGTTGCGGCTTGACAACCTCTGAGGATGAAGCGTTGGTTCCTGCCCCACAACACCTGTGATTTCCACATAGAGGAGAGACAAAAAGGCAGAAGAGGAGCCAAGTCACAGGAGGGGATTAGGGCCATATGGAGAGCTGGTGGCTCAGGAAAAAAGGCCTGATCTCTGGTACTCAAGTCAAGTCAACAGAAGACAACAAACAGTTCTATAGAAACTGATTTTGTGTAGTTTCCATTTTTCCAGAAGCAGCACAGCTATGCAGCCCTTCCCTGTCGGCATGCCTCTCTCTGTCGTGGTGGCTATCACTGGGGCATGCAGTCACAGAATCACAGAATCACAGAATCACAAGGGTTGGAAGGGACCTCAGGAGATCATCTAGTCCAACCCCCCTGCTAGAGCAGGCTCTCCTAGAGCAATCTACACAGGACTTCATTCAGGCGGGCTTTGAATATCTCCAGAGAAGCATGCAACAGTGAAGAAGACCAACTCATAGCTTTGGTGCCAAGATCACTCAGGCACATTTAGCTTGTGCCTGGGCTGGGAGAGGTCGAATCTGTTAAAGCAGGCATGGTTCTGCATTAGTCTTCCTACCTGGTTGTGCTGGATGAAGCGGCTTACGGCTGTTAGTTCGCGGTGGTGGAGCAATGCCCCAGGGGAAGAAAGATAAGAGGTGCTGCAGCTCTACAATAATGCCTTTCAGCAATGAACTGCAAGTGGTTTGAGGTGAGTATGCGGGTGATTTAAAAGAGGGAGACACACAGAATTGGCCCTGTTCTCAGTACATTTGTGCTGTAATCACGCTGCGCTGATGACACCCAGTTTAAGCTCACGTTAGCAGCTTTTAGAGCCTACACATGGCAGCTTAGAGCTAATGCACGTCTCGTCCTACAGTCTCACTTACTAATGAGACCATTTGTTTCTCAGCTGGAGAAGGTGAAAGCATATGCAGTGATTTAAGACTAGCGCAATATTGTAGGGACAACTTAACTTTGTCTAAACCTAGTTTAGCTTAAATGATATGGGTTGAATTCACACACACAATGCTTGTGTTGTTTTCATTAGCTCTGTTTGGAAATCATGCTAGCTAAATCAGGGCATCCCCTGGTGTGATATAATGAGGTCTCTCCTCAGATGAGTTACACTGATATAAAGAAGCTATACAGGAATAGTCAATGCAGCATAAAACTGTCTGTAAACAAGCCTTAAGGCACCGCAGATTAAGGTGACCTGCTCAGGGATTTGCACTGGTTTAATTGATTTGGTTTGTTCATTGAATTCCATTAATTTACAGAAAGTTTTGATTTTAGACAAAGCCTCAGACCCTGATCTTCTGTTCGGACCTGTCGGTAGTGTGGTCGAACTGCTTTTGGTGAATGCTTCATTTGCAACAGTACAGTGTTGGTCATTGCCAGACTATTAGTGAGTATGACCCAATTTGCCAAATGCTTTCCCTGAAAAGCAATCTCGGGGGCTGATGCTGAGGTGGTCTCCTATTTATGATCTCTGAGCTCACCACCTATGGCATGATTCTGGGTATGTAAGACCCAAGTTCACTCTGAGTCCTCTAAGGGAATGTGAACAGATAGCTCCTTGGCTGAGCAAAAAGGTTTTCTTCCTCCTTTGCCTTGAGAGCCGTGTGCCCTGTGCTCCCTGCAGTCATGTCATTTCTTGTAGGGTTGGTTCATGCAGCAGCTTGGAGTACCCTGGTTGTGGCTGGGAGAGAAACGTATTGGCTGAAGTCAGGAACCACAGCTTTGTCAGTGCCCCTTCTGGAGATGGTGTTAGTTAGGTGGCTGTGCCTTGTCTGAGCAAAAGCTGCAGGCTATGCTGGCTCCTCCTTAGACATGGGGTGATGCTGTAATGTGGACTGGAAGAGCCACAAACAGGGGGGGTTCTTTAGAAACTAATGTGAGGATCCGGTATTGAGAGAAAAACCTCATATTCTAACACATTGGGTCACTGTGTTTCCACTGCTGTTTCCTTGTGCCATGTTAATACCAAACAAGCAAAAACCTAAGAGTTTTGGACAACAGGGTGAGTCACTGTAACTGGGATGGGTGTCTGGTACAGAGCACAGCAGTTATTTCTGTGAATTGCATGCTTATAAAAATGCAAGAAAGAACCTTTACAATGTGTAAAATCATATAAATTTAATGTAACTTGATTAAGCTTCATGTGAATGGTACATATTTTCTTAGAATGCCAAATACAAGCAAAAAGAAATAACCTGATGAGTAAACTGCAGCATTTCCAAGGAAATGCTGCTGTGTGCTAGCTCACTAATTCCTGCTCTGGTAGCTTTAGCTGGCAGTGATGATGGTGCATCTTCTGAGGATCTAGAAATAGAGCTGAACAACCATTTCTTCTGGGGTTTTTGTTTGTTTTGTTTATTTCTTGTTCCAAAACATTGCCTCAGGCACATTGCCTGTGCCTCGGGAGTAGCAATTTGTGTGACTACCCCTTCCATTTCCCTTCTCAGGTGGTGCTCGCTGGCTAAGTGATGCCTTTGCAGGGCAGCACATCTCCTGGGACGCCTTGCGGTGGTGGCACGGCTGCTTGCCATCAAGAAACAGATGTGGTACATCCTGAGAAACACAGCCCCTCCAAACAGCCTGGCTCAGGGAGAAGGAAGCAGAGGGGCTTCACCGGGGCAAGGTTGTGTTACATCTTGGCCTGCCTGTTTGGTGCAAAGTGGGAAATCCCTGGTGCAGAGCAGTTGATAACCATGTTTCATGTGCTTGCAGCTCTGAGGTGCTGACAGGAGGAGGTGAGAGCCTTTCCCTGCCCTGGAGCCAGACTCTGCATGAGGAAGAAAAGCCCTTCATTTCGCCAGCTGAAGAAGAGATGGGGTAAGATGCCAGGAGGTGTGTAGCAGACAGACAGGTTGGGTATCTCCTCACACTGCTGGTGCTGGCTGCCTTCCCCTGGGCTGCATGAGGGGCTGAGCTCCGTACCCTCCAAGGGTTTGCGCGCTGGTGGCTTTGGCACAGGATGTGCTCTCAGCTGCGGTGTGCAGGCACAGCCAGGTGAGAAAATAGAGCAGAACTTCCTTGGGCACTTTGCAGTTTACTCATCGGGTTATTCCTTGGCACTCTGCAAGAAAGTGCGAACGCAGCTGCACCCATGTGCTGTTGCACGGGACCCGCACTGCTGCCGGGGGCACCCTGGGACCCCCGGGCCCGCCGGGGCGGGAGCGAGGACATTTCTGCAGCGGGGCAGGTCTCACGAGCGGCGCTCGGGTGGCATGGCGGGGGTCTCCGGCCCAAGGGGCGGCAAGGCGGCTCCTCCTCCTGCGGCCCCGGGTGCTATGCCCGCTGCTCAGCG